AACACAGCCTCCCGCCAGCTCTGCACAGCCGCCTGCAGGCCCGGTCCCCCGAAGGCCCCGCTGACCCCCCTCACCTCCCGACACCTCCTTGCAGAATTAATTGGTCCCTGCGCTGTTGTGGGGACTTTGTTCAGGCCTCGCTCCGAGCACTTTGTCACATTATCTTCTACTTCACTGCTCTTGCTCTTGCCTTCCCGTAATAATGGACCTCTGGGTGCCAGGCCCCAGGCCAGTGGGGGACGGGCCTGCGCCCATGCTGGGCCGGCGGGTGGAGAGCCATGGTTCAGTCGAGGAAAGGGAGGACTGGGGACCCCGGCTGGGGGCACGAGGACGCCAGGCAGGGAAGCCCGCAGGGATGCCAGGACTCGGACGGCTCCTGGTCTCTGTGGCCAGGAGCCTGACTCTATGACCTAGGCTGGCTTTGAAGTGAAAGGTTCCGCCCATCTTTGCACAAAGCATCATTCATCACCACCACATTCCGCTCCGCTCTGAAGGCCAAAGCAGGTTGCCGGACCCCTGGGCAGGCCCAGAATGGGGGGCTCGTTTTTGTACACAGTCGTTTCCCTACCTAAGCCCCAGCTGTACGTCGGGAACCAGAGGCGTGCACAGGAGTGGTTAGCTCGGACCCCTGGGGGCGTGGAAGTGACCCAGCCAAGGCCCTGGCCTGTTGGCAAGGGGAAGATGAATGCTCCAGAAGTCAAAGAGCCCCGGGGTGGAGACCCCCAGACTGGTGCTTTCTCTGCAGGAGAAGCCAGGTCTGCTCTCCTCACTCTCCCCAAGACACAGCCTTGGGGTCACAGGCCAAACGAGATAGACAGGCTCTGCCCCCAAGCTCCCCAGCCTGCAGGGCTGCCCAGGCTTATCTGGCCAGCGTGGCAGCCCAGTTTAATTAAGATAGATGCGGCGTGCCCCTTGGGCAGGAGCCGTGACCGCCACAGACGAGGGAGCCCAGATTCGCCACGCAAGTGGTCTCGGCCAGCATTCCATGGGGCTAGGCCGAGGGGGGACAGGAAGGCCTGCACTGCACCAGGGCTTTGGGGGGTGGTCCTGCCACCAGCCAGGCACCCCTTTCTACTCTCTTCCCCAACCTCCCTTACACCATATAACACACATCACACATGAAAACCATCACACAGACACCACACACATCACACAGACATCACATACCATCACACACATCACACACCATCACACACCATCACACACCATCACACACCATCACACACACCATCACACACCATCACACACCATCACACACCATCACACACCATCACACACACCACACACCATCACACACACCATCACACACCATCACACTCCATCACACACACCATCACACACACCATCACACACATCACACACCATCACACACACCATCACACACCATCACACACATCACACACACCATCATGCACATCACACACCATCACACACCATCACACACCATCACACACCATCACACACACCATCACACACCATCACACACACCATCACACACCATCACACACCATCACACACCATCATACACACCATCACACACCATCACACTCCATCACACACACCATCATACACACCATCACACACCATCACACACATCACACACCATCACACACACCATCACACACCATCACACTCCATCACACACACCATCACACACACCATCACACACATCACACACCATCACACACACCATCACACACCATCACACACCATCACACACCATCACACACACCATCACACACACCATCACACTCCATCACACACACCATCATACACACCATCACACACCATCACACACATCACACACCATCACACACACCATCACACACACCATCACACACCATCACACACCATCACACTCACCATCACACACACCATCACACACATCACACACCATCACACTCCATCACACACATCACAGACACCATCACACTCCATCACACACACCATTACACACACGCACCTCGCACACACATCACAGATACCCTTGCACCACCACGCCGACATCTATCTCACACACACACGCACACACAGTCCCCTGTGGGGACAGAAGAAGCGGGGGGCAGTAGGGCCTTCTCAAGGATCCCCAGGGTCCTCCTGGGGGCCAGAAAGGGCACCTCAGTCTGGCAGGAGACCCCTAAGCCCATGGTGCGTCAGGATGCAGGGCTTCCGGGGCTCGGCCCCCCTTTCTCTCACAGCCCCTCCCCAGCTCCCCGCCAGCCCCCACAGGCGCGGCGGCCAGAGTACCCGCCCCGGCCGCCCCCATCGCACCACAGGGACAAAAAGAGAGCGCCCCCAAATCCAGAAGCTGCCCGTCACCGCAAGCCCCCAGCCCTGCACACCCACCGCCCCGGCGCTGGCCCCGGAGTCAACACTGACAATGAAGGGTCCCCGCCCCCCGTAACCGCTCGCTCCCGCCCACGGTGGAGGCGCCCGTCTCCCCAGATGCAGGTGTTCAGGCTAGAGATGACAACCAAGTCAAAGGGAACTGAACGACCGTATCCTCCTCCTGCTTGAAACTTTACATATGAATTAAGCGCATATGGGTTCCCCGGGCTCGCCCAGATTCCAGATTTACGGGGTCCCCAGCAGCCGCGGCGCCCCGACTGTGATGCTGCGAATGAACAGGCGGATTCAGGGGCTCGGCCGCGCGGGACCCGCAGTCTCTGCTGCCCCCTGGCGGGCGGCGGCCGGGCCGAGGGGGGGGGTACCCCGAGGGATGAGGTGTGGGCACGCCCACCCCACTCACCCCGAAGGGGGGGGTACAGACAGCCACAACCACAAAGGAGCCCCGAGGTGGGACTAGCTCCAGGGCAAAGTCCTGCAGGGAGAGCCCGAGGGGACGCAGCCCCGTGAGGAGCCCTGTCCAGGGGCTGCCTCTGCCATTTAAGCAGAAGCCCAGCTAAGACTGGGGTCTCCCCCAGCTCAGCTCGCAGCCCCCCTCTGGGGTGAGGGGCCGTAGTCAGACCAGAGGGAGAACTCAGAAGTGTCTTGCGTACTGGTGTTTGTGACCAAGTATCCCCTCCCACACCTGGGTTTCTGTCCTCGTCTTCACTTGTGTGTTTTTCACCCTGTAAATTTCTTGCACAAGCTCAAATAAAAAATTCAAGAAAATTTTTGTTCTTAAAAAAGACTGAGGATGGGCCTCTCTGGTGGCGCAAGGGGTTAAGCACAGCACTGTGAAGCTATCCGCAGCCTCTGCAGGTACAAGTTCTATCCCCGGCCGGCCAAGGAGATACCCACATGGCACAGCAGACCTCTCCTGACTCGCCCGCTGCTCCCCTCAGCATCATATTTCATCAGTCTGCCTGTTCTGTTCCCCCCTCTGTCTCTGGTGAATCCTCTCACCCCCTGCACCTCTGGCCTGTACCCCAGTTCTTGTATAAATAAATAATCTTTAAAAAAAAAAAAAAGGCTGTGGATGCACCGCCAGGAAAGCCCCCACCAGGGTACGAGGGACTGACAGCGCCGCCCCCAGTCCCACCAGCAAAAGTGCCGAGGAAGAGCCATTCGCCACGCCCAGGCCACCAGAGTCCCTATGCCACCTGCATCCTCCTGGTACTGTCCTGGCCCCTGTGTTGCAGCCAAGAACACAACTGGATGAAAAGGGGTACATGCCTCCCCCCCTCCCCCGCTGTTCCCCTCCGGCCACCTGATAATTGAGCAAGAAAAGTAGCAGGAGGCAACCCCCCCACCCTCACTAATGACTGACAAGGCGGGGAGGGGGGAAGCTCCATGAACTGTTGGACTGTCCCCCCAACCACAGCCCCCTCCACTGGCCCCCAGACCAGCCCCTCCTGAGTCCAGGTAGCAAGAGCCTCCTCCCCTGGGTGTTACGGCGTCTGCTGTCTCCCCAGAGGACCCACAGCCCTCACTGCCACCACCGACCCAGAAGCACCAACAGAAAACCTAAGGTGACCAGGCTCCCTCTGCAGGGTCAGAATCCTGCCCTATGAATGGTCACCTGTGGGGAAGGGACACACATGTGACTGCAAACACCAGCTGAGCAAGGTCACTGTCGGAAATGCAACCCGGACCACAAACAGCAGGCCGCAGCGAGCAGCCACCTCTCCCTGCTTGGCTCCCAAGAGCCCAGTCACTTAACAGGATCACAGGGATGCCGACAGCCTGGACACCCCACTTCCCCGCTCACCAGCACAGGGTCGACATGTGACTACAAGCCCAAGGTTGAGACTTGGGGAGCTGAGTTCCTCCAGGGAGTGCCTGAGATGTGCAGGTGGGGAGGGGGCTGGGATAGTGGGGGCTTTCTGGGGAGTCAAAGCCAAAAACAGGAGGGTCTGCACGGGTCTCCAAATATTTTCAAAGAAGGTGGCTCCTCCCTGTGATGCTTGGTGAGATTCGGCGCCGCCGGCTCTTGTCCAGTGAAGCAATCACGCACCTGGCAGACCTGACCTTGACCAGACAACCACCACCTGGGAGGAGAGCAGCCACCCTCCTCCCTCCCCCGAGGTGGGGGGAATGGCAGGTTTCTCAACTCATTACAATAAACTGCCAAGTCAGCAGGAGCCACCTCTGCAGGAAGCTGAGCCTGGGGCATAGGGGGCCTCTGTGCGCCCCCCACCAGCTTCAAGCTCCCACACCTGCTCTAGGTCCCAAGGGTGACAGGGTGGGCAGGAGGCCGAGGAAGGAAGGCGGGAGTCAGGGACATCTGCAGCCCCCAAGATCAGACCACCTGGCTTTGACCTCTGCCTTCCCGGCAGGGCGGCCCAGCCCGGCACAGTTCCAGCCAAGCTCTCTCCCTTCCGGCTGCTAATGGGTCTCAGAGCTTCGGGGCGGCTCAGCCAAGGGCCTCCAACACAAGGGTCAGGGTTTCAAGGAGAGAGGAGTCCTGGCGGCTACTCCCGCGGTGCCGGCAGGCCATCCTCATCCAGCCACCGAGCCTCTCCGGAGCCAGGCGGCATCCACAGCGCCTGGCCTGACAGCCCAAGCAAAGGCAACAGCCAAGAGGGGCCACTCAGCGCGCCAGAAGCCCCACTCACCGGCGTTGATGATGGCATCCACCTCTAGTTTGGTGATGTCCCCTCGGAACAGGGAGATCTTCTCGTTGAGTTGCTTGTCCTTCTTGTACTTCGGCTCCTCCACCTTCACGGTCACCCCTGAAATGAGCAGAGGTGTGGAGGGGGTCACAGCGAGGCCATGCAGGCTAGGTGTGCCCCCACAATCTCCCCACACCTCTAGAGATAGCCTGACTGATGACACGGGTAATGACAGCCCGTGTGGATAAAGCACCTACTGTGTGCAGCCCCCCACCCCCGCCCCCCGTAGGCTCTCGAATCTTCAGTACATTGTACAGAGCTAGAGTATTAATGTCAAGCCTGCCACAGAGGCAGGCTGAGTGACCTGCCCGGGTTGCGGGTCACCAGGCCTACAATGTGCTCGCCCCAGTTGGTGCCACCTCACACAGCTTCAAATCCCAGCCCCCGAGAGCCAAGTGCGTAGTGGGGAGACAACTTGAACCTGTCTCAGAGGCTAACAGTTAAATAAGGTGAGGGGTACAAAGCGCCCCGACTCAGCGAGCAGCAACCGCGGCCCCGGGCCCACCTTTCGCTGTCTCTTTCCACGTGGGGATCTTCTTCAGTCTGATGAAGTCTCGGCAGAAGTAATGTTCCTCCCGCTGCTTGTCACTCAGGCCCTTCAGAAATGCTGCAGGGGCGGGTGAGACGGGCAAGAAGGAGTCAGGCGGGCAGGGAGAAGAGCAGCCCGGGGCCTTCCCCACCCCCAGCTCCCCCCTAGCAGGAATTCTCACCTCCTCCAAAGTCACAAACTGACCTGCTCTACCCTACAGGCCCATGGGCGGGGTGCCCCGAGAGGCGCCCAGAGGCCCCTAGACTTCCTTGTTCCGCCCTTTTTGTTCAGGAGGGGAAACTGAGGCCCAGGGAGGCAGAGAGCATCTCTTAGGCACCACAAACCTGAATTCAGAATTCAACTTGGTCACACCCGTGCGTCCACATGCCCTAACTTCTCCATTCACAGGAGGGGGAGTAAGTCGCCCTTCGGGGAAAGTCTCAAGCTTGCGCGGCAGCTAAGCCAAGCCGGTGGGCGCCCAGGGTCAGTTCTGTCCCATTGGCACATGGTCCATCGGTTACATCAGCAATGGGGGCATTACCAACGGGCTACATCTTCATGGTCATTAGTTGTAGGGGCAGCGCCACAGGCCCCCCTGGGGGTCTCCCCCAGCAAGAGCAGGGGAGCCACTGACATCACCCCCTGTCTATGGACGAGCACACGGGGTGGGGCAGCCAGGCAGGTTAGGAGCCACTCGTGGTCACAGAGCTGGCTGTTGGGGCTGGTTGCCTGGCCTGGCCCTGCTCCCTGGCCCCCAGCCCTGGCTTTGGTGGCCCCTGGCTTTGGAGGCACTCACCGCCCCCCCAGAGGCGCCAGGAGCAGCTGTCCAGGCCCGTGGCTCGCGGGCTCCCCCTGCTGGTCCGAGGCCACCCAGGCACCGGGGCTCTCAGCCCCACCTTGCTCAGCACCCCAGGTGGAGCAGCCCCCACTGACCACTGAGGGGCACAAGAAACGAAGAAGACCCGCAACCGAGGAGGGGGGTGGAAGGAGCTCCCTCCCAAGTCTCCCGCGGAGAGGACGCCTGGGGCAGGTGGGGCTCACCAGTCGTGCCCCAGCTCTCCCCAAGGCCGCTTAGGCCCACGGAGTCTGCTCCTCAAGGACGCTGGGGACGCAGGATCAAACAACTCGCAGGCGGACCCAGTTCTCAGTCGAGCAGTATTTTTTTTTAAGATTTATTTATTTATGCATACAAGAGCCGGGGTACAGGCCAGAGGTGTGGGGGTGAGAGGATTCACCAGAGACAGAGTGGGGAACAGAATGGGCGGACTGACTGAGATACACTGCTGAGGGGAGCAGCGGGCGAGACAGGAGAGGTCTGCCACGCGGGTCAGGTCCCTGGCCTGGCTGGGGATGGAACGCGTGCTGCAGAGGCTGCAGACAGCTCCATCAGCTGTATCTTCATCCCTTGCGCCACCAGGGAGGCCCTGGGAGCAGTACTAAAGCCTAGCAGTATTGAAGGCCTAGCAGCACCCCGAATCTGTTCAACCACACTTCCCAGAAGCCACGTCCCCCCCGCTCCACCAACACCCACACCACGCAGGTGCTGCCAGGACACACCCCACACGGCAGAGTTGGTCCTGGCCCTCCTGACCCTACAGCTGCCATGGGGACTGTCAGGGGACTGGGGAGGTCACATGCACCCCAGTCCTGGGGGCAAAAGAGAGACTCGGAAGAGGAGTAGAGGAGCCAGAAGCCGGGAAGGGGTTTCCGCCAGCAGGAACAGCATGTCTGAGGTCAGGCTGAGTTAAACTCATCGTGGGGCGAGGACACTGAGAGGAGGCCTGTGAGGGTGACTCATCAGACTTAAAGTGCGCCCTGATATCTGGTCTCACTTACATGTGGAACACAGAGGGACCCAGCCAGCGGGCAGGAAAAACATGAAACCTGCAGGCTGACCCCGGATCTGAGGCATCCAGCAGTGGAGGGGAGGCGAAAGGGGGGGGCCCGCGGGGGGCAGGGGGCGAACTAGGGGGACCACACCAGAGGGGAGAAATCAAATACTGTCCAAAAATAAACAACGATGTCACAAAATGAATTTAAAATAAAATGCTTCCGGGTGTAGATTAAGACTCTCCCAAAGAACTCTCACTCTCAGAATGAATGGTGAACCGCCCTCGCCACGTCCCCGCTGCTCACAGCCCATTTCCCTGCCCCATCCAGGGGCCCCGCTCTCCGCTGTGCATGTGACCTCACGAGCCTCCCCCCCACCCCCAGAACAGGCCAAGGTTCCCATTGCATTGCAAGGTTCCCGCTCCCTTGCATTCTGGGGGTGGTGCTGGGAATAGGCTGGGCATTTGGAAGGGACTGAAGTGTTTCTCTACGCCTTGGTTGTCCTCTCAGGTGAAATGGGGGTACAGAAAGCTCCTCCTGTGTTCAGTGAGAGGCAGAACAGGCTTGGCTGGGTGTACAGCCCTGGGGAAAGGGCTAGGCCACCCCCATCTCCTACCACCCGCTCTGCACCGCCCAGACACACGCTCTCCCCAGCAGTTTCCATGCAGATCAGTTAAGAAATATTTGTTGAGAGTCCCCCATGCAACAATCCTAGGGGGAGAGGGGAGGCAAGGGGAGGCCCTCCAGAGGTACCCCCAACTTCTCTGGTCTGCCCCAGGGCCAGCAAATCCGTAGAGAAAATCCCACCCCCAAGAAGAAGGCCCCCTCTAAATATGGAGACCCCTGCTGATGATCCCTTTGGCAGGCCACTCCAGCTGCTGCTTTGGAAGCGGGGTCCCCCTTCTCTCCTCTCCCGAGCCCCCGGCACTGTCCTCCAGCTGCGCTGAGAAACAGCAGCCGCCACCTCCCACCACTGCCTGCCCACAGGTCACTGGGCACAAAGGTCCTTCTTACCAGCTGAGGCCGCCCAGCGTCCTGTCTGCCCTCAGGCACCTTCCCTGCCCACCCCCAGCTTTAAAACAAAATCCTCCTTGGGCTTGCATCCCGCAGCCTCATCTCGCTGTCCCCCCTCACCTTGCACACTTGCTCCTGCACCTCCTCCCTGCTCTCCCCAGCCTGTCTGGCAACATCCTTCCACAAGGCCAAGGTCAGTCACTGCACTGGCCACTGGCTTAGGCTGTGGCCCCTCCTGTCCTCCCCTGTGCACTCAACATCCGCAGCCCCTTCTGCCAGGACCCACCCATCCTGGACCCCACTACTCCCTGGCCTCGCCTGGGTCTCCTCGCAGCCTCCCCTCTGGAATCCGCCCTCCCATGAAGTTCTCACGTTAGTTCCACGCATTTGAAAATCGTCTTCCTGTGCCTGACCCCAGAGCTGCACCTCCGGCTCCCACCTCTCCCCCAGCACCTGCCCCCCACCCTGCCTGCACTCATCCCCAAACTCGGTGGTGCAAAACTCAACTTCTGACTCCTTTCCCCCAAAATGTGTTTTTCCTGGCTTCTTAATTAATAACCCCAGACCCCACTGGGCCCCAAACTAGGCCTCTTCCCTTTCTCTTGCTCGCTCCCCCATTCCATCCATCTGCAGGCTGTTAGAGTTTTCCCTGCAATACCCCGGAAATCAAGCCTTCTGCTCACCCCCTCCAGGGGCCAAGACTCCTCCTGGCTCCCCAGACCCCTCCATCACCCCGGCCCCCAGTTGAGTCCTGTGTCCACCCTGCTGTCTGTCCTCACACAGCAGCCCAGGGGGCCTAGACATCCTCAGCTCTTTCAAAGCTCAGTCCAAACTCCAAGTCCCAAGCGTGGTCCGCCGTCTCTGCCCGCCCTCTCCGGAGCTGCCTGCACCTCACTGCCCACCCTGGCCACCAAGATCACCTCCCAGCTCCTCCAGCAGCCAGACTGCTCCCGGTCTCAGGGCCTTGGTACCTGCTGTGACCCCAGCCTGGTTTTCCTTCCCAGTCTCCTCGAGGCCCTGCCCCCTGCCCAGAGAAGCCCCTCCCCACCTTCTGTACTTCATTCCTGACTTGACCTTGGCCCTGCAGGAATCTGTCCTGTTCACACTGGCTCAGCAGATCGTGGGCGTCTGGGAGAGGAATCAATGAACAAACTCAGGAGACCTGAAGGTGAGGAAGGTTTGCTAAGAGAACATCTCCTGGGCAGAGGGAACAGTATGTGCTCAGCCAGAGCAGAGGGTGTGCAGGCAGGAAGGACATGCAGCAGGGAATCCACCGTACCCGGGCTGAGCACAAGTCAGGCTGTGGAAGCCTCCCAGGGTCCATGCTGGCTCCTTGGCCCCGGTAGGCTTGGGGCCCTGACTTCCCAACCTCGAGTTCACCGCGAGGCCTCACGCCCTCAGAGTCTCATCTCTGGAATAGGGCCCCGCAGGCCTACCCCGGCGCCCAGGTGTGCTGCGAACGAGAAGCTGAAATGCTTTATAAGCTGTAAAGTGCAACCTCCCGTCACACACGCTCCATCCTTCCCGAAATCCCGAAGAGAACCAGGACAAAGAAGCCTGCGTTTGAGGGGGAAGGGAACACATTTTTTCCCACTTGAGGAAAGGGCAGATAGAGGAGCTTTTTAAGGATTCCGGTCCTCCTATTTGTCACCTTGCACAACTGTGACCAAACACCTCTGCCGCTTCCAGGCCTTACATGGCCAGTGCAGCCAGCTGGCCCCAGGGCCTGCTGTGACACTGGACAAGAGGTCAGCCAGGACCCAGACTGTCCCCACTGACCTCCCAAGTGGGTGCTCTGGTTGGGGCAGGCCCCAGACATCCCAGGACACCAGATGAGGGTGTCCTGAGATGCGTTAGGTCCCCGAGCAGATGCCACCACGCGGGGGTCGGCCCCAGTCACAGGCAAGTTCAAGGGCCTGTTCTGCACTGACCCCCACCCCCACTCAAGCCAAGTCCAAATAACCGCTCTGCTTCCCAGAGACAGCAGGATACAGCCACATCCTGGCTCTGCCACCGGTCTGTGACCTTGGGGACATCTGTCAGTCTGTTCCTTCCAGGCCACAGCCCCCAAGCACACACGGAGAGGCCAGCACAGCTGCTGCGTCCTCATCTCCAGTGAGGCTGTGGCTGGGCTGGCCCTGAGGCACCACATGCCGCCCTGTCCCACCTTCACAGTCCTCAGCTCCATCTCTCAGCAGGGGCCCGCCCCAGAGCCCCCACCCCCCACTATCCCT